CTAGACAGAATATTAAAAAGCAGAGACATTACTTTGCCAACAAAGGTCCATCTGATCAACGCTATGGTTTTTCCAGTGGTCATGTATGGATGTGAGAGTTGGACTGTGAAGAAAGCTGAGCGCTGAAAAATTGATACTTTTGAACTGAACTGTGGTGTTGGAGAAGACTCTTGAGAGTCCCTTGGACTGCAAGGAGATCCAACCAGTCCATCCTGAAGGAGATAAGTCCTGGGTGTTCATTGGAAGGACTGACGCTGAAGCTGAAACTCCAATACTTTAGCCACCTCATGTGAAGAGTTGACTCGTTGGAAAAGATCCTGATGCTGGGAGGGATTGGGGGCAGGAGGAGAAGGGGATGACAGAGGATGAGATGGCTGGATGGCATCACCAACTTGATGGGCATGAGTTTGAGTAAACTCCGGGAGTTTGTGATGGACAGGGAGGCCTGGCGTGCTGCGATTCATGGGGTCACAAAGAGTCAGACACGACTGAGTAACTGAACTGATGGTGACCTGGGCGAGCTCAGAAGGAAGGGACCAGTGGGTTGTACGCTAGGTTAAAGGGAGAAAAGGGGCTGCTGGGAATGATTAATTTCCTACATAGTGAAGTCCTCTCAGAAATAGTAGTTGAGATCATAGACTGTGCAACCAAACTATCTGGTCTTATATTCTGAACTACCTCTTCATGCCTTAGTTCACTTGTTAAAGCAGGCATAAGTACAATACACATAAAGACAGGGATAGCAGTAGTAAAGAATTTGGAAAAATGACTGGCACATAGTAAGAACTCAATGGATGTTATTAGCTATTTATTAGAAACCTTAACGTTTGCCTGGAAGAACAGAGGAGATCAAGTCTAATAACTTTCCCATTCTCTTTTCCTAGGTGGAAAGCTGGCCCAGGCAGGGGCTAAGTTCCCACTGTTGATAAGGCCAATATGGGAAGATCAATTTTACTCCCTTCTTCAGTTCTCAACTCAGCTCCACGAAATACTCCTCCCCTGGATGACAACTGTCATTTTTATAGCATTGATTATTGTGTCCATCACTGTACCAAGTGTGTGCATTTCCCCTTTAATCCTCACAGCAATCATATATATCAGGAACCATTTATATACTCAGGTGAGGAAACAAAAGCTGATTGTGTCTTGCCCCAAAACAAAACCAAACTAGGAGAGTCAGGTTTCAAATCCAGCCAATCTGTCTTTAATACCAGTCTCCAAACTACTACTTGGGGTAGTAGGCTGAACGCAATACATCCTTGAGCTTGGCCCTGCCCACCTCCAAGCTTGTTGCGGACAAAGAATGCACTTGGGGTGACGGCAGGACTACTCAGACGCGCTCCCCGCCTTCCGTTGGGAAGAGGAGGAAGATGCAGATTATCCCAGGGCGCTGGTTTGGAAGTCTGGAGTTTAAATCCAGTCCCAGCCCGTTGACTTGAGCGCTCTCCGGGGCCTCAACTTCTTGAGACCTCCAACGATCCCCGGAAGGAGGTTACCAGTTCAGGTTGTTGCGCGTTCACGTCTTCCTTCGAATGCGGAACCTTTGACACCACAGCTTCGTGGAGCAGACGGCGTAGACGGAGCAACGGACCCAACGGACCAAGGGGCGGGGCGGACGGGCTTAGGCGGGGCGGGAGGCGGAGGCGCCGCGTAGGCCAGGGAGGCCGGGCTGGCCCGGCTTGGGAGCTCTGTCCCCATGTGCCGCCGCCTCCTCCAACGATGTTCCCCTCCCGGAGGAAAGCGGCGCAACTGCCCTGGGAGGACGGCAGGTGAGCTCGGCGGCTGGCCCGGTCCCCGTCCTCCCGGGTGCCAGTTCTTTCCGGGCCACCGCGAAGAATCTAGGAGCCCGAGGCCGTTGTGACTCCGTCTCTGCGGGGCTCTCTGAGGGTCTGTGTTTCTCCTTGGGGATCTCTGTCTGTATTTGGGTTTCTGTTTCTCTCTGCGTCTCTGGTTCTAACAGCCTCCGTCACTCAGCAGGTCTGTATTTCTTCTTTGATTTCCCTTTGTGAGTTTCTGTCCCTCTGTGCGAGTCTCTCTCGTTATGAGTCTCTGTGTTTTTCCACTGACTTCAGTTTTTATGCGGGTCTTAGAGTCCGTTGACCTTTCTCAGTTTATCTCTTTGTCTGTCCCTGGTTTCAGAAGGTCTGTATTTCGTTTCTCTGGCCTCTGCCTCTCCCATCACATGCCTGTAGACTCAGACCCTACACTTGTGCTTCCCCATTCTTTGCTGACCCCCGAGAAGAATACACCAGACAGAAGCTCTGTGCTCTGCCTTGCTGCCCACTGCCTGACTGGGACTGAGTTCTCCTCAGACTTAGCATTAGTTCATTTCCGGTGCAGCTGTACTTGAATGTGGCCTGCCCCGTGTGTTAGGTGTGGGGTTGACCCAGACCTTAGTTAGTGGTTGTCACTAAAGCAGAATGGGGATGAGCTGTTTGGTCATTAAGATTGGAAGGGACACCCAGACTTCAATCTTGAGGTGTACCCTCAAGTCTTCTCAGAACACATGGTAGTGGTTCTACACCTGGTGAATGACACCTCTTTCCATGTATGTCTGTTAAGTTTGCCCAAAGGTGCCCAAAGACTTTGGAATATAGCTAGCACAACTCTTTTATTTTTGGGAATTTTTCAGACTTGGTGTTGAAGTAAGAAGACAGGAATATAGTAGAAAGCCTAGACTGTGGATTTAGGCCTGGACCAGAATCCTCTTTAATAGCCTTGTGACCAGAGCCAACTTAATCTTCCTCCTCAGCTCTTTCATCTCTGAAACAGGGATCATCATATCTATTCTGCAGGTCTATATGAAGATATAAAGGAGATCACACATATATAAAAGTCTTGACACTATGCTTGGCACAGAGAAGGTGCCAGTTATCTTCCAGTTACTTTTGCAGTTTGGAGGTGCTGTAATCAGAGCAGCTGAGTATTCAAACCTGTCACTAAGGTTTGTGTGAGGGAAGAAAGGAAAGGTTATGGAGAATTTCCATTTCCTAATTTCTTCCTAAGAATTTTAGGAAGACAGCCATATTCCACAAAACTTTACCGGTATCACTTCATGCTTTTGACACAGGGGTACAAATATCCATGCAACAGATGCATACTGAGGTAGCAATTAAGAGTGTTGGCTCTGGAAGCAGCCTGTCTGGGTTTGAATCACCCTCTTATTAGCCTTTGACACATATTGATGAAGGAGACAAAACCTCATCTGCTCTGCCTCTCCACTGCCAGAAACAGGGTGCCCTGGGCCTGGTAGCTGCTGAGACTGCAGATCTGGAACTTGCCACCAGGTGTCACCAGGAGCAATTGTCAGTGTTCACTGTCCTGAGGAATTGGGATTCAGTTCTGAATTCAGTTGTTCAGTGATTTGGGCCCTTGCAGCACCGGAAGAGAGTGTCTGTGGGAATGTGATCCTAGTAGGAAGGGAAAGCTGGACCGAGGGGACAGAAGGTGAAAGTGCATGGAGTGCCCAATCCATGCCACACCCCTGGATAATGGTCACTGCTTCTTCTCCCGAAGGTGGGATATTTCCTCATGTCCATCTCCCCGGTCTCTACCCCGCCCCCAGCAAGAGCCCAGAGGGAGAATCTATAGAGGTTCCAGCCTTCCCAGGCCAATAGCAGGATTGGCCTCTGCTCCTCCCCAGTGGAAATCCCCACCGCATGACAATGGGGGGTAAGTCAGAAGTCCTGCAAGGTTGTCTTGCCACACTCCCTCTCTGCTGTGTGTGGAACATGGGCCTGGATTCAGGGTTGCTTCCAGTTGGCAGTTGTGCCTCTGGAGAGAGACAGGAGTTGGTCTGGCTTTAGTGTGTGACAAGCATGCCCTGAATGCTTGATCCCTTCCTGTAACTCACTTAGCAAGCCCTCTGCTGTATGACTTGTGCTAAGTACACAGCTGTGAATCTGATGACCTGTGAAGAAGACCGGCAGGGACACAGGTGATTTCAGAACTAATTGCTTCAAGGAGGGCAGTACCAGGTACTCCAGGAACACAGAGGAGGGAGTATGTATCTCAGTCTGTTGTGTATGTGGGAGTAGGGGGGACAGTGCTGGCCATGGCTTTGGAGTTTGGCCTTGAAGGATCAATGGGGTGCTTCCAGGCAGATGAAATAAGGAAAGCCATTTTAGGCAGAAGCAGCCAACTCTGTGAGGGTTAGAGCAGGAAGGAATACGGTGAGTGGAGAAACTGAATTGCTCAGTGTGTAGCACTGGGTGAGTGGCAGGGAGCAACTGGAGATGGGGCCAGGTTACAGAGGGATTTGACTGTCAGATCACAGAGTTTGCCCATTATCTTGTAAACAGGAAGATCATCCATGAGATTTGAAGGGGTCTGAACAGGGCAAGGACCAGGTGAGACTTGAACTAAAAGATAGGCAGTGTGTGAGGGAAGAACGAAGGGTACTTAGGAGGTAGAATCTATATGCTCTGGTAGCTAATTGATAATTCTCAGAGGTTATAAAGTAAATTGCTGATTATTTCAGAGACAGGAAGCTGCAATTTTCTTGGATTCCTTAGTTCCTTCACTGACCTCAGGAACTTCCAGAGAGAGGAGCAAAGAAGCCAGATGAATTCCATCCATTTCTTTGTTTTTCCCAGCACTACCCAGAGTGTAAGACATTCTGCTGGTCTTCCAGCTTCTGAAATGTGCCTGGGTGCTGTTCCCATCCCTCAGTTTTCTTTCCCTCTTCTGTTTCTCATCTTTTGTCACATGAGCTGCCCTGGACTGAAGCTTTGAGATGCATTCTGTGAACTGCCTTTATTGGTTTGGGCCTCACGTTGGTTTGGGGACAGACCTGTTCTTCCCAGAGTAAACAGTGGTCTTTTCACCGACAGCTTCTCTCTTTGGGGGAGCTTTCTGGTCTGAGAAGTAGGATGAAGCCAAGCTTTCTGATGAGGGTGAACCTGCAGGGGAACAGGTAGAAGGCAGTGCGTAGGGTCTCTAAGGTGGGCTTCCGCCTTCGGCTCTGGACATGAAATGTTGTCTTGGGGAGGGGCAAGTGCAAGGGACAAGGAGTCTCTTCCCTGTCCTCGAGTAGCTCTTGGTCTGATCTGGACTCAGGCACAAAAAGTAAGAGAGCATCAGGCAGGTGGGGCAGCTTCAAGACCTGTGAGTGTTTGGAGGGCCTCCTGGAGGTGGGGTGACTCAGGCTGAACCTAGAGCTGTAAGCAGGATTCTGATGCATGGTAGCAGCACAAACAAAAGCACTAAAGTTGCTTCTGCACTAATTCCCAAGCGCTTGGGGCCGACCAGTCACATGTGCCTTACTTTCGGGAAGCCAGAGAAGGGTGTGTTACAGGACCTTGGCTCACCTTGCCCTTCTGACCCGCTCCTTGTTCTTGTCCCAGGTCCAGGTTGATTCCCAGTGGCCTCCCCCGGAAATGTTCCGTCTTCCACCTCTTTGTTGGCTGTCTCTTACTGGGCTTCCTCTCCCTGCTCTGGCTGCAGCTCAGCTGCTCTGGGGACGTAGCCTGGGCAGCCAGGGGACAAGGACAGGAGGCCCCAGGCCCATCCCGGGCCTGCCCACCAGAGCCGCCTCGCGAGCACTGGGAAGAGGATGAGTCGTGGGGCCCCCACCGCCTGGCAGTGCTGGTGCCCTTTCGAGAGCGCTTTGAGGAGCTCCTGGTCTTTGTGCCCCACATGCACCACTTCCTGAGCAAGAAGAAGATCCAGCACCACATCTATGTGCTCAACCAGGTGGATCATTTCAGGTAGGGACCACCTCCAGGCCGGCACCGCTCACCTGGGCCTCACCTCGCCCTGGTCTCCCTTGCCTGCTTTCTTTCCCAACAGCAGCCCAGTACCAGGTAGCCCAGGCCACCCGGGCAGCAGCGGAAGGGTGGGAGGTGCTCGACCCCTCTCACTGGGTATCATGGGAATTTGGGGGGAGAGTTTGGGACTGGGGAGGCACTGGATCTGGTTTCCATTTTACAAGGTCCCTGTGGCTGCTATTTGTGTACTAGGCCATACCAGGACAAGAAGGGGAGCGAGAGACCTGTTGGGCAGGCGTTGCCCTCACTGCCATCGTGGCAGACACGGTGGAGAGAAGCAATGTGGAGGAAGTGCAGACAGGGCTTGCTGGTGGATTAGCTGCAGGGATTAGGGAAAGAGAAGGGTCAAGGGCATGGCTTTAAGGTTGTTCAAAATCTGGCATTAACTTAAAATCCTTGTCCTCACCAAAAACTGCTCCCCTCCATGATCACAATCCATGCATTGCACAGCCCACCCCCACCTCCTTTTCCTCCAGCTCGCTCCCACTGGGGAACACACTCCAGCAGTTCTTGGAACCCGCCAGGTCCTTTAGTCCACAGTCCTCCCAGTGTTCTCTGCTTTCCTCCTGACCTGACCTCTACTTTCTCCTGACCTGACTTGACTACAGCTGAATCCCTGATTTCCCACCCACCCCTGACCTGCTTCTCCTGCCCTCTTCCTCATGGAAGATGGAAACTGCACACTCCCAGCTGCTTAGGCCAGAAGGTGCTGGCTCCACTCCTGCTCCCTCACACAACACGTCTAGTCCTCCAGCACAGTGCGGCTAGCATCTGCCCTCCTGTCATCCCCACTGCTACCTGAGTTAAGGCATCATCAGTTCATGCCTAAATTACTAGAGCAGCCTCTTAACCTGTCTCCCTGCTTCCACCCCTCACCTTCCAGGCTCTTCTCATCATACCAGCTAGAGTGATCCTGTTAAACACTGATCCACTGCACATGATGCCTTCACTCTTAGCCCTTCAGTGGTTCACCATCTCATCCAGGGTCAAAGCCCATGTCCTTCAGAGACCTGTCACCCTCTGACCTCATTCCCTAAAACCTCGCTCACTCTGCTTGACCACATTGCTGACTGCTCCAGCCTCCAGCCTTGGGAGTCATTTTCCCCTCTGCTCAGAGCCCCATTCCCCTGATTTCCACAGGGCTCATCCCCTCAGGCCTTCAGGCTTCTGCTCACATATCACTCTGTTACACTGGCTCTCTGACCACCTCTTCTAAAAGGACAGCCCCTGCCTGCCAGCATGTTTTATTCTTCTCACATTGCTTTACTGTTCTTCTCAACATTTACCAGTCACTGGCTTGTTGCATGTTTACTCAAGTTTTCTTTTTTGTCTTATTAGAATGTCAGCACCTTGAGGGCAGGGCTTTGATTTCTCACGTGCTCTGAACAGTTTCTGGGACATAGTAGGTGCTCAGTAAACATTCGTTAGATGAGTGGAGAGGCAGCTGGGCAGCCCTGTAGTGAAGTTGGCCTCGGGCTGGAGGGCAGCGTGAGTACTGGGGCCGGTTGCCGTGGACAGGCTCTCACGTAGAAGCTGGGGGAGAGCAAGCTCACTGCCCCCATGCCCAGCTTTGGCGCCCTGCACAGGTTCAACCGGGCAGCACTCATCAACGCGGGCTTCCTGGAAAGCGGCAACAGCACAGACTACATTGCCATGCACGACGTGGACCTGCTCCCTCTCAATGAGGAACTGGACTATGGCTTCCCAGAGGCTGGGCCCTTCCACGTGGCCTCCCCGGAGCTCCACCCACTCTACCACTACAAGACCTACGTTGGTGGCATCCTGCTGCTTTCGAAGCAGCACTACCAGCTGGTGAGGCCTGGCATGCCTGCTCTGCCCAGAGTCAGGCAACACCTACCTGGATGGGGGCTTTGGCCAGAGGAGTGGCAGTTCTGGGGCCCAGTAGATGGAGGATCCTAGGGCCAGCAGGGGAGCCCAGGGCTAGCCAGAGGCATGAGAGAGGGGCAGGACCAAGCAAGCCAGTTAGGGAGGGTTTCTGCCTCAGTAACAGAACCCCTCCATGTGAACTAGCTTTAGAAGCCCTGTTCTTTGCTTCTCAAAATGGAAGAGTCTGCTCAGCCTATCAGACAGGACACCATTTCACTTTCCATCTCTCAGCTCTGCCTTCTCTAGACTGGATTTACTTTCAGACATTTGGGATGCAATGTAGTGGTTGTCACTGCAACCTGCATCTGTCTAGGCCCAAGTCCAGTGGAAAATGGAGCTCCCTTTTCCAGCAGCCCAGACAGCAGTCCCACAGCTGCTCCATGCTGGCTCTTGATTGGCCTGCCTTGAGTCATGGCTAATCCCTGAATCCATCACTGTGGTAGGGGTTGGGAGTGGGATGGTGGGGTGGGAAGAACTGAGTGGCTTAGACCCCCATCTCTTGCTCCTCTGTTCAATCTGTGGCTGAAGCCAGCTTAATGTGAGTGAAGCCTGAAGTCATGGCAAAAATAAATGTCTGCCATCTGACTTCAGACACCGTCTCTCTCTTCCATACAGAGGAAGAGACAAGGGCAGAGAGGCCCTCAGGAGAAATGGGAGTAGGGGACCAGGCAGAAATAGAGCAGGAGCTGGCACTGTGCCCATCATCAGCTCTTCAGAGGTCCCCTCCCAGCAGTCAGACATTTTTGAGAGACTGTCCATCTCACACAAATCCAAGGCCCCATTAGAACAGGCAAAGGAACTGGGGTATGCTGACTGTTCCCCACTGGTACCACAGAGGTTGTAAGAACCAAAAGCATCTGGGTGTCCATTCATAGCTTTGGGGGAGGAGGAGAAAAGGGGGCCTGTCCTGGCCCCACTTGGACTTGGGACCCCCAAGTAGAAGACCAAAGAGCATCCCTGGGAGGATCGGGCAAGTGACACTGCCTGTCTTTGCGTCAGTGCAACGGGATGTCCAACCGCTTCTGGGGCTGGGGCCGAGAAGACGATGAGTTCTACCGGCGCATCAAAGGAGCTGGGCTCCAGGTAATGCTCCCCCCACCCCCTGACTGGCACCCCTCTCTTAAAGAATGGAAATACAGGCCCCTGCCTATGGGCTGTCACCTCGTGGTGAGGGCCAGGGCCCCAGGAGAGGCAGCCTGATCCAGCTTCCTTTGGCCTCCTTAGCTTTTCCGCCCTTCGGGTATCACAACTGGGTACAAGACATTCCGCCACCTGCACGACCCAGCCTGGAGGAAGAGAGACCAGAAGCGCATTGCGGCTCAAAAACAGGTGATGGCTGATCTCTTGATCAGAGTGGACAGGTGCTGATCGGTCCCTTGATCAGGGGTGGACAGGTGCTGGCCAGTCCCTTGATCAGGGTAGGTATGTGGTATATAGGGAACCAGCGGGCCCAGGCTTTTCAGCAAGTTCTCATTGTACCCACATGGTCCCATCCTCCCCTGCTTGGCCCAGGCCATTGTGGGCATGCTGCTCGGGCACAGGGCCCTCTTCTGGTGGCTGCCATGGCCCCTGGGCCTTGTGGGTCAGCCAAGACATCAGAGGCCGCTTAGGCTATGTGTGTCAGGTGAGGTGGGGACAAGACTCAACTGAAGGTGCCAGAATCCCAGGCAGACACAGGAGTCAGCATCTCTCCAATAGCCTCTTCTCTTAGAGCTATATTAATTGAACTAGAAAACCCCTGCTCTCCTGCTGATGGGGATGTGGAGCCATGGGCAGTAGACTTTCTGTCTCTCAGCTTCCCTTTCCCCTCTGTGGGGATCATAGGACCTCTGATGACGAGATCATGGGGGATCAGTGGACAGTTGGCACCTACAAAACCCTGAGTACATGCTCTCTCCCCTCTTCCTTCTTAGGAGCAGTTCAAGGTGGACCGGGAGGGAGGCCTGAGCACTGTGAAGTACCGCGTGGATTCCCGTACAGCCCTGTCTGTGGGCGGGGCCCCCTGCACTGTGCTCAACATCCTGTTGGACTGTGACAAGGCCGCCACTCCATGGTGCACGTTCAGCTGAGTTGGCTGGACAGTAAGGAGGCTTGTGCCTATAGGCCACACTGCTACTCAAACCCAGGACAAAGCCTTGGCCCAGGCCCAGCTCCAGTAGGACATGGAGTGGCCTGAAGCAGTGGCCAGCCAGCCACATGTTTGCAGCAACCTGGCTCCCAAAGGCAGGCTTGAGCCAGGACAGGACACACACAGGGTGTCTGGGATGCTACCAGCAATAAACAGTGATGGAGAGAGGCTGGGACATGGCTCCCAACTGGGACTCTCCACCCTGCCTTACTGCTTGCCCTGCCCTGCCCTACCCTCTTTTGTGTGCTGAGATCTGCAAGTTCCTCCCTTTGGACTGCCTCATGCAGAGATACAGTTTAGAAGCCAGGCCACTGATGTGGGTGGCCAGGGCCATCAGGAGGGTTAAAACTGCAGAGACCAGTGTGCAAGCCCTACAGAGGGAGCAGCTGAGACCAGCTCTGGCTGGTTGTCACCATGCAGGAGTGTGGGCTTAGTGTTGCCAGATCTTCTGATTTTTCAAAAGAAACTAGAATTCTGGATTCTTGAGTGAAATTGGTTAATTTTTTTTAATTGGTTAATTTTTAAATGATAGCAACTAATTCAAACTTTTAAAAAGTATGGCAGGCCAAACCTGTGGCTGAGGGGGAAGGGAATGGGGCAAAAGAAGACATTTTTCTTAGTTAAGAGCTGAAAAGGAGCTGGGGCAGGGCTGGGGACGATGAGGCCAGAGGATGCTCAGGTGGGAGAGAGGCCCAAGGCACAAGGTCCCTGTTCCCTCCCTCAGCCCAAGGGTGCTTCATCCTGTCTCACGAAAATGGACAGAAGTAGATCACAAGACTAGACTGAGGGTAGTCAGGCTACATTGTGGAGACTCACTCGGTCATGGCTTGGGAAGGGAGGACCATGTTCCTGAGGCGGGAGGAAGATGAGAAGTAGGAGAATCCCTGGAGTGTTCCCACAATGTGAGGAGAGATTAGTGATGGTCATCAAAAGCAACAGAGAGGGAGGGAGGGGAGCCAAGGGAGATGGTGGAACCATCTGGAGGGAAGCCCAGGGCCAATGAGAGGAAAATGAGGGACCCTGAAAGGTAAATTACTCCTTCAAGGCATTTGACTGCAAAAGATTTGGGGCAGAAGTTGGAAGAGACCGGGACCAGTTAAGGTTAGTTTGTTTAACAATAAACAGGACACCTGAAGTGCAAGAGGAAAGATTGAGGTCTCCAAATACAGGAGGGTAGATTCAGCATCTCTGCTCCAAAAAGGCTCCTCCTACAAGGGTGATCTTGGGGTTATTTTGTGCAGTTGTGTGGGTTGTGCACTGTACAACCTGAGCATGAACCAAGAGATTTAAGCAAAGAGGAGTGGAGGGAGTGAAGAACTTCAGGTTCCATGTAACCGTTGAGACTTAAGAGAGGGTCCTTGGGATTCTAAATTGACCTCAGCCAGCAATTCAGCTTTACTTACTACAGTGAAGGGCAAACAGACCTTGATGACAGTGCAAGGGTAGTCAAGGGACTTTCTCGATGCCCAGGGGAGGGGAATGGTGCACTTTCTGTATGCTGGTACCCTGGACAACCGTGACTATGTCATCTTGGACTTGTGTAACACGAAGTCTTTTGGAGTTGGTGGGAGTAGGTGTGACAGTGCCTCCAGCTCTGTACTCACCTGGCAGGTAAGACAAAAAGAGATAGGGGACTCCTTCCTTTCCACCTGCCCTGAGAGGTGGGATGAGCAGGAGAAAAGCAGGATCAGCCAGCTCAGCCTGGGCTGGGTGCATCTCTAACCCTGCACTCCCACACTCACGACCACCACTACCACCTCCATGATCCAGACACCAGAAGGCACCCTGGGCCAGGCCTGATGCAGCTCTAATCTTCAGCTCTCACCCTCACTCCCCATCCTGGGCCTCCCCTAAACCTTTCTGGGAGAGTGGGAGAAGGCTAAGAGGTGGTCAGTAATAAGAAGCAGAGAGCTCTTCCGCCTCCTCAGCACCTTGGTAGCTCCTCTCTCGAGTGGAACAGATGGCCCAGTCTTGCTGGTCAGTATGTGAATGATGTGAACCCAGGATATAGGAGCACCTGGCACGTGCTTTGCCATTGTGATTCTAATGATGACAGCTGGCACTTATTGAGCATTCTCATAGACAAATTTTAGTACGCTGAGTTATTTCACATAGGTCTTCACCTAGGAGCTAGGCCCTGTTTTGTTAACTTGTTTTATAGATGAGGATGGTGGAACACAGAGAGGTAAGAAACTTGCCCAGGGTCTCAAGGCTGGTAAGTAGTGGAGCTTGGGATTCGGATCCCTGGAACCTGTCTTCTGAGCAGGAAAAAAACTGGAGAAAATCTAGGTAATTTTGGTTTGGCAGTGAATTTTTAGATACAATACCAAAAATACGATCCATGAAAGAAATAGTGGATGTTAGACTTCTATTAAAACTTGAAACTTCTGCTCTGTGAAAGCAACTGTTAAGAGAATGAAAATACAAGCCATAAACTAGAAAAAAAAGTTGTAAAACACCTGATAGAGGATTTGTACCCAAAATATACAATGAGTTTTAAAATTCAACAGTAAGATAAAAGCCCAAGTGAAGAACACAAAAGATCTGAACAGACACTTTATCGACAAAGATATACAATGGAAAATAAGCATATGAAAAGATGCTCAACATAATTTGTCAGTAGGGAATTGCAAATTTAAAACAACAATGAAAAATTTAAAAATGAGACATTACCTGTTAGAATGCCTAAAACCCAAAAAACTGACTTTCAAATGCTGGTGAGGATGTGGAGCAATGGGAAACATTCTCACTGTTGCAGGTGAGAATGCAAAATGATAAACTCACTCTGGAAGATGGTATGGTAGCTTCATACAAAGCTGAGCATAATCTTACCATATGATTCAGTGAGCTCACAGCGAGGTACTCTCTGAACTGACTGAAAAGTTGTGTCCTCACAAAAACCTACATGTGAATGCTTTATGGCAGATTTATTTGTAATCACTAAGTACAAAAAGTGACCAAGATTTCCTTCAATATGTGAATGGATAAAAAAAACCAGTGGCACATTTATACAATGGAGTATTATGCAGCACTGAAAAGAAATGAGCTACCAAGTCACAAAAAGACACGGAAGAACCATAAATGTGGCTGAGTGAAAGAAACCAGTCTAGAAAAGGTATATAGAGAATTCCCTGGTGGTCCAGGGGTTAGGACTCTGGGCTTCCACTGCAGGGGGCATAGATATGATCTCCGATTGGGGAACCAAGATCCTACAAGCCCTTTTGTGGTCAATAAAAAAAAAAAGTGAGCCTTAATGTGTGCAAATTTAAAAAAAAATCAGGAGGTAAGAGGATCGCAGGAAGGAATGCACACTATGGCAAGAAAATCCAACTGCCTTACATTACAAAACAGCCTCACTGAAGACGACAGGGGAGAGGGTGCTGACCTGAGTAACACTGGAAATATGCGATCTGTAAGACTAAAGTCAAGAAGTGCATGTGTGCAGGATCCTCTGGTGGTTTCCCACAGGGATATGGTACACTTGCTAAGTCGCTTCAGTAGTGTCTTGACTCTTTGTGATCCTATGGACTGTAGCCCACCAGGCTCCTCTGTCCATGGGATTCTCCAGGCAAGAATACTGGAGAGTGGGTTGCCATGCCTTCCTCCAGGGACTCTTCCCAACTCAGGGATCGAACCTGTATCTCTTATGTCTTCTGCATTGTTGGGTGGGTTCTTTACCACTAGTGCCACCTGAGCAGCCCTGGGGGTTTGGGGTATGGTATAATTCTGCAAATTAGGGTTGAAGAATTAAGTAAATGGATGGTGGGAGCCAGTTTTCTTACTATGGAGTAGGAAGTTTTTAGCAAAGAGCAGAATGCTAGAATGATTCATGTGATGATGGATTAGAGTTGAATAAATCAGTATGAATTTGCATTAAACTTAATTATACATAGAAATATTTATAGATGTCTGTGTATACACAGGTATCACACACGTAAATTTCCTTGTTCTGTCAGCTGAGAGGACCTGGAAGCAATGGCACTCCAGTAGAAATGAGCACACAACTAGTGCTCACATCATGGTTTCATTCTCCAGTGAGAAGGAACTATGACTGCTCGAATAAATGGTTGAGTCAAAGGCTAGGGTGGAAAACCTACAAGATGAGCCTGGAGCAACTTTTAGTTCCAGAGAGTAAGGAAATGTTTTTTAAAAATTGATGGGGGTGAGTGGTTGCTTCCCTGGTGATCCATGGTTAAAATTTCACCTTCCAATGGAGGGGGGTGCAGGTTCAATCCCTCATCAGGGAGCTAAGAACCCACATGCTTCATGGCGAAAAAACCAAAACACAAAACAGAAGCAATATTGTAACAAATTCAATAAAGACTTCATAAATGGTCCACATGAAAATTCTAAAATAAATTTTTTTTTTAAAAATTCGGGGTATTGTTAAAGGAACACAGGAGCCAACTTAGAGGGCTCTCAATGGCACAAACTGGGACAACTGAAGCCAAAAAAAAAAAAAAAAAAGGAATATGGGCTTATGACCCAATATATAAAATAAATATACCGATACATGGGAGAAGAGAGAAGCATCTTATGCAGAATTATTCCAGATAGTTTATGTAATGTTCTGCCCTCAAGGAAAGGGAGCATAACTACCCATTCTTTAAGCTGTTGACTGCTGATAGTGACTTCCTTCCAAAGAGTCCAGTGTGGAAATATGTGTGTGTGGGAGAATAACTCTAGAATGGAAAAACATAACAAACACTACCCCAGCCAGGTGATCAAGGACACCACTGAGAGTGATAAGTGATCTTGATCACTTATCAAGTATTACCCTTGATATATTGTAAGGAAAATGATACTTTATGTCAGTGGTCTTCCTTCCCCAAATCCATAATCCGAGTCTAGTCATAAGAAATTCAACGGGACTTCCCTGGTGGTCCAGTAGTTGGAAACCTGCCTGCCAATGCAGGGCACACAGGTTTGATCCCTGGTCCAGTAAGATTCCACATGCCACAGAGCAAGTAGGCCCATGTGGCACAGTTGCTGAAACCCAATCACTTTAGAACCTGTGTTCTTTAACAAGAGAAGCCACCACAATGAGAAGCCCATACACCACAACTAGAGAGTAGCCCTGAGCTTGCTGCAACTAGAGAAAGCCCACAAAAAGCAGAAAAGACCCAGCACAGCCAAAAAGAAAGAGAGAAAGAGAGGAAGAAAGAAGTAACCAACACATAGCTGATATATTTTATAAAAAAAATTTTAGAATAGCAAATTTCAATACAGTGTATCTTAGAAAACACTTGACCAGTGCTTCTCAAATTTGTGAGGTCATCACATACAAGAAAAGTTGGAGAAACTGTCACAACCAAGGGGAGGCTAAGAAACATGACTATAAATGTAATATGGTATCTTCAGTGAGGTCTTGGAGCAGAAAGAGGACATTAGGTAAAAACAGAAATCTGAATAAAATAGTTTTATTTTAGTTAAAAATAATGTATTAGTATTGGTTCAGGAATTGCAGTGTAATAAATATACCATACTAATCG